AGCAATATTAAAAAGTTTTAATAATGATCGGCATATTATAAAATTATCCAATCAATTTCTTTATGGATCAACCAATCCCGCTATGTTATTAAAACATGAAAGCGTGTATGAAACATGTTTCCTCGCGATTGAGAAACCGTACACTACTAGCAATCCTTCTAATATTTTCCCTCGTTTTATTAATATATCAACTTTCCAATTTTACAAATACTTCATACAACAAATTTCAATCACAAAACGTCAGTACTATTAATACTCCTCGTCTAACCAAAATTCAATACGATTTTCAGCTTGAAACAACTGAAGAAAAAGTCCTTAGAGAGGAACATCGTGATTCTGTTAAAAAAGGTTTTCTTCATGCTTGGAGTGGTTACTCTAAATATGCATGGGGTTATGATGAACTTTCTCCGGTTAGCAACAATGGGAAAAATAAGTTTAATGGGTGGGGTGCAACAATTGTTGATAATTTAGATACTATGTGGATAATGGGTTTAAAAGATGAATTTAACAAATCCAGAGAATTTGTGAGCAAATTGAATTTTATAAATAGCGATGGTCAGACCAATGTATTTGAGACTATAATTAGATATTTGGGTGGTTTAATAAGTGCTTTTGAATTTTCGAAAGATCCTCTTTTGTTGGAGAAAGCAAAAGAATTAGGAAATGCTTTGGTAATTTCCTTTAATAGTACCACCGGACTACCTTATAATGATGCATATCTTAATCCGTAAGTACACACTATAATGTATTGTTGTTCTCTTCCTTATCAGATTAATTAATATCTCACCTTACAAAATGTGCTGATATGAATTTCATTAATTTCTCTTATTAATGACAGTGACAAATGGATTGATCATCCTCCTTCAGGAGGTGGTTTGCTTTCTGAAGTGGGAACATCATGCTTGGAATACACAAAATTAGCACAATTAACGGGTGATCGTAAATTCTTCACTATGGTGGGTAGAATCCATTGTTAACCTTGTTCTACTTTTGCTCTCTGGAAAATATCTAATCATTGTATATTTTAATTACAAGGTTAATAATATCATTAAAGTTCTTCACAATGCTAATAAATCAATTCCAGGGCTATATCCTGTTAAAATCAATCAAGGTTTAGTCACAAATATTTTAAAAGTTGAATAATAATTCATTTCACCATCGCTTTTTAATTAATTTAATAATTTCTAATATCTTTATAGAAACCGGAAAATTTACAACAAGTAATAATCAAATAATATTAATATATGTTTTATGGGGATTTTTTTTATTTATTTGTTATATGCATGATATAATATGCGTTACTGATTTAATTTTTTCATATCTTTTCTTTATTGTAATTTCCTATTTTAGATGATGTATCATTTGGGGCCAATGGTGATAGTTTTTATGAGATATTTCAAACATAACATTTATACATCAAAATTTTTTCATAATATATTTATTTTCTCTAATTCACCATTTTTAAACAGTATCTCATCAAAAAATATGAGTTAGTCGAAGGCACTTTTGATCAATATCGGGAAATGTGTAAGTGATTTTTTTTTATTGTCTTTATTGTATGTTTGTATAATTTAAGACAATCTAAGCCATTTATACAAATCTTTAAATTAAATCATTCAAAAAGATATTGAATCAATTGAAAGCATGTATAAATATTTGATCAAAGAAAGTCCGGTGAAAGAGCGTCCGGACCTATTGTTCCTTGGGGAATTATACAATGATAATAATTTTATTGGAAAAATGGGTCATTTGGTAAATAAATATTTACTATTTTTGAGTGAATTATGTAATTATCATTTTGTTTAGCAATTAATTAATGAGCATTTTTCAACGTAAAATAGTCATGTTTTGTTCCTGGAATGTTAGCAATAGGATCGAAAATTCTTGATCGTCCAAAAGACCTTAAAACTGCAATAAGACTAGCAGAAACATGTTACTGGTTAAATAGAATCACAAAGACCGGAATTGGTGCAGAGGAAGTTTGGTTTAACGTCGTGGAAAAAGAGAATACGACAAACGAAGAGGATTTTAAAATTCACAAACGTGGTTATGGTCTCCCAGATGGAATAAGTCATTTGAGTCCAGTTTATTCTCTACTAAGACCGGGTGAGTATTGAAATTGAATTGAAGTATTTGAGGACTGACTACATGCTAAAAGATTATTTATTAATATGATTTTTTTTAATTCATAGAAACTATTGAGAGTTTATTTATTTTGTATAGAATAACAGGGGGTCTGATTCATTTCGTCGACAATCATTTCGTTGAAAGTTTGTTTCATCGAAAGTTCATTTCGTCGAAAATTATTTCGTCGACAATCATTTCGTCGACAATCACTTCATCGACAATGATTTCGTTGACAATCATTTCGTCGAAAGTTCATTTCGTCGACAGTTTATTTCGTCGACAGTTCATTTCTACAACAATTCATGTTA